TCCATTCATAGCAGTGATCATTTTAATAGATAAACTTGATTACATCTTTATTCTGAACAAAATCTCAAATTGTCTACCCATTTTCTCTAGAATAAAGTCAATATTCTTAAAATGGCATAAAAAGCCCTCCATGACCTGATACCTAAGACTGTTCTGACTTCATCTCTAATTACTCTACTGCTTGCTCTCTCCAGTCTAGTGAGACTCACTAACCTTCCTGTTATTAATTGAACAGATGATTTGTTTACAACTTAGGACTTTGCATGCCCATTCCATATATAATTTAACTCTAACAAGCTCATCTCCTTCAAGAATTTGCTTTAGTCACTTTTTTTTTTCTTGGCGGGTGGGGGGTGTGTGGAGGGGTGGGCGGTTACCAGAGATTGAATTCAGGGACACTCAACCACTGAGCCACATCCCCAGTCCTATTTTGTATTTTAATTAGAGACAGAGTCTCACCAAGTTGCCTTGCCCTTGCTGAGGCTGGCTTTGAACTTGAAATCCTCCTGCCTCAGCATCTCAAGCTGCTGGGATTACAGGCATGTACTACCTTGTCTACCTTAAGTCACTTTCTTATTGAAGCTAACCATTCTATTTATAAATCCACCCACCTCTTTCTTATACTCTCAATCTAATTCTTTTTACCCAGTGGTATATACTTCCCATTAATATACAATTTTTTAATTTTTATTGTGTATTTTACTCATTTAGAATGTCAGTTTTACAAAGGTATAGAACTTAATTTTATTTACTTATTTGTGGTTCTGGAGATCAAACCCCTTGGCAAGCACTCTACCACTGAGCTACATCCCCAACCTAGCATAGACCTTAATTTTATACACTGATGTATTTCAAATGTTTGGAATAATGTCTAGTACATAATGGGTATTCAGATTATATATCTGTTAAATAGATGAAAATTCTGAGAAGATATCCACAGAAGATATCAGTATATTCCATTTTTATCCCATTTTTTCTAACTTCATATTTGGCAATTTGGTTTCATAATAGATTGAAATTTAGGATTATATACTTATTTAGACTTATCCAATCTAAACACAATATTTTAGCTATTCAAAATTGTACTATAAGTGCAATAAAAACGTGTTTAGATAGACGATACCATGTATTTTTAATTGTTTTGTTTTTAGTTTTTTGAGACAGAGTCTTGCTAAATACTGAGATTGGCCTCAAATTTGCAATCTCCTTCATCAACCTCCTGAGTACCTTGGATTACAGCTATACATGTATGTGCCACTGCATCCAGATTTTTTCATTTTTGGATACCAGGGATTGAACTCAGAGGCACTTAACTAATGAGCCACATCCTCAGCCCTTTGTTATATTTTATGTAGAGACAGGGTCTTACTGAGTTGCTTAGAACCTCACTAAATTGCTGAGGCTGGCTGTGAACTCACCATCCTCCTTCCTTAGCCTCCCAAATAGCTGAGATTACAGGCATGCACCACCACCAGCCCACTGCATCCAGCTTTGATGCCATGTTTTATGATTGTATAAATCATTAAGGCCCTAGATTCACTGGGGAAATTTAACTTGTCAGGTAGTTTATGGCTTTCCTCTATATGTGATGTTAAGTGCAAAAGAAGTTGTTAAATACATAGTAAAATTTTGCTTCTGTTGAAAGGCAAGACAGAAATAATCAGCTTACTGTAGTCAACAAATAAAAGGAAGATAAACTTTAAAAATCATACTAGAAAATTACTTAACTCTTTTAGAACATGAGTTATTTGGGGTTAGATTTTTTTTCTTTCTTTCTTTTGAGAGACTACTTTAGATCTTTGGAGTAATTTCTGCAGCTTTAAGTATTTAGTATGGCTTAGAATTGTGTCATTTCATTTTTGGATTTCTCGACTAGCCTCATTGATAATATCTTCAGGCCCTTTGTTAATTTGAACCTGGACAGACCTGGTAGGTCTGATACCCACTTCAGGATTAGCACCAAGGCAGGGTCAAACAAAGTGCCTAGAGGCCAACCCAACCCAAGAATGGCAACTGATTATTGTCAAGACAAAGACCAGTTCAATATTAAGAGGCAATATCAATTATAAGACTAAAAGGGTGAGCCTGAAGTCAAAACTATGAAGCAAGACAAGATTAGGAGTCAAGGTACCAGACAAATGCCCCCAAACTAAGAGCAAAGTGTATAACACAATAGAGAATGTTATTTACCATAAGTAATTCAAGAAGGTTTGTCCCAGAAAAAGCAAAGTAAGAGAAATACATTCTTAGGGACTCCTCTATACTCTTACCACTGGAAGGTACAATGAACAATAAGTAGAATGTTGAGGGGTCCTCCAGCCATCCTAGCACGGCTCTCGGCAGCTATTAGACAAGACACATGTCTCAGTGACTGCTTCTCATTGAGAAGGAAGGAGAGTAAGGAGAAAAATCAGTCTTTAAAGAATCCAAAATATTACAAAGAACTTAAAAATAAATATGATTTCCTTTAGTCTTCTCTGAAAGAAATAAGTTGTGAAGCCCTATTTGGGAGTTCGATGATAGAGGCTCAACATTACCCTTCTGTACTGTGCCATAGAATAGTCAAAGGCATATTTACTGTTTCCATGAAATTTATGGTTTAACTATAAAGATATGTCTCCAAGGAAAGTGAAGGTCACCTGCTAATCTTCTAAGTTTTAGCACTTCAGAGTTTCTTGATTTTCACACATATGTTTTTATTTTCTCCAAAACTGTTTCCAGTTTCACCAGTGAAGGAAATCTACTGGGCTCAGTAACATGTATGTAAGATTAATATTACATTACTAGTTTAAAGTACATCTCTTGAACTTGAAAACTCCCACATAATAATGTACATATTTGACAAATATCTATTGAACATCTATGATGTGCCAAGTGCTGCTGTGAGTATTAGAGAAAATGAAGTAGAAAAGGTGTTTTTGTCCTTGTGGTACTTACACTTGAGTATCATGAGTTTGTATACCCTCTCTTCCTACTAGGAGAAAGCTTATTATTTTTAATCTTTTATTTGCAGTAAGTTTCTTAAATGTACTTGTCCCTCGAAGATTGTTGATTTTAAAACAAAACAAAACAAACAAACAAACAAAAAATCTCTTCCATTTTCCTTAATCAGAATCTTAGGGAACAGATTGGGAAATCTGTTTCAACAAGCTCTCCGGGTGCTTTAGATGCATTTGAGACTACTGTCCTATTAATAGCTTACTACCTGAGGAATTGCAGTTTTCTCTTGTCTACATCTATAGCTCCCCTTTTGGTTATCATGACTACCCTTTATCAAACTTCTCATCTTGGAGAAAATGAAAGCTCCCCTAAATGGCTTCCAGCCAATTCACCTAAAATAGACTACAAAGCAACCTTTTTATAAAATACCATTTATTTTAAACTAAAATTGTTATCAGTATGGAACAGATGTTAACCATGTCCTGCTTTTGAGTAGAAAAGGTTCAAACATTAATTATTATTTATGATCCATAGAACCAAAAGATTCATTTTAACATTAGAGTTGAGATGTCAGAGACATGGGAATTTTTCTCATCAAAAGCAAGATACTGATTCTTGTAAATCTATTGTATACAATATAAACAATATTTGCTAAAGTAGTTCTTTGAAGGTTGATGACTGTCAGTATAGTTGATATTTAATACTAAACAATATGCAATGCGAAAAACTACAATAAGGTTAGTATTTGTGAAATAATTATCACAGGATTTTTATGTGCTTAAACTCTATTCTAAGTATTATACACATATTTGGATGACTTGATCTTTAAAACTTGTCTATGAATTGTGATTTGGTTACCATGCCCATTTTACAGATGAAAAACTGAGACATTGAGAATATAAACAGTCTGTTTAGATTTACATGGCTGATAAACTGTAATCAGGATTAGAATCTTAGTGCCAAAATCTGTACTCTAATTAATCAATAGACTAACCTGTTCCTCCTTCGTTTTTATAATATGTTTTTAGGAACCTCAGACCAAAGAAGTTTACATAGTCCTTTCTAGGAAACAAGAATGTTGATTACAACTTCCTTGTCCCCACTGTTCTTTCTTATTTTCACTTGATTCATGTTCTAAAATGACCATAACAATGTTGATGAACAAGATCATCTAGTGGCTAGTGAATCAAGCATAAGACTAACTTGATTCTGAATTTCGGCTGTACCATTTGTTCGCTTTAAGGCCTTGAGCAAGTGACCTCTTCAAGTCCTAGTTTCTTCACCTTCCAAATGAAGGTTATAATAGGACCTACATCATACAATGTTGAAAGAACAAGTAAGATGGCCCATTTAAGATACTCAGAATGTATTCAATAAATATTATAAGTGTAATAAATAGCAGCATCAATAAACTATGAGCCAAATGATGTCTTGATTCTTATATTAGCAATAAACATGGTTCATTTTTCTTTTAATTAAAAATATCACAGCAACAAAAACAACAAACAAAACTATAAGCCATTAAACCAGTCTTTTGTAGGGAAAACCAGAAAGGCCATTTGATTCATTCATTCATATGTCATTAGTCATCTCCTCTGTTTCAAAATGCATGTGTTTTAGCATCTTGAGACACCTTGCATAACATAATCACTGTGACTCCAAGAGGTCAAGTGGGCATGCAGTTAATGTTGCTCTTGAAAAGCTCAATAATTCATTTTATAAATTTCAGTTCAAAGCCTATGTTGAGGTTAAGAAAAATTGACATTCGGTCTGTGAACTTAATGTCAAGCTCAGAAAAACTCTGGGCTGCACATGTTTAGTGATTAAGCAGACGCAGACAATAAAGACGTTGCCAAATTGTAAAACAAGACTTGGAAATCACAGAAATTGTTGCTAGTTATTGATTATGGTGACCATTCAGTTCTTATTGAGCCACCCAAAAGAATCATTCATTTTCCAGCAGAGAGCCTGCTCATTTGCAAGATAAAAGAGAGACATTTCTGCACATGCCCATAATGTTCTTCACCACTGGGGGCAGCTTTACATAAGACTGCATTCACTGAAACCAAAGCAACAGTCCGAGCAGCTTTCAGAATGACAGTCTGCAGAAGTGAGCTGAGCGTGTGCGCTGTACGGGGCTCTCCTGCCTTGTGGGCTCCTTCGTAGCTCTGTGGCTGAACTGGGTGCTCACCACGGGAACTGCTGGGCTATGGAATACAGATGTGGCACCTCAGGTAGCCCCACGTTGCCTGGAGGAATACATCAAGCTTTCTGATAAGAAGAAATTGTAGAAGCCAGTTCTGTAACCCCCCCCCCCCCAAGAGAGAAAAAAAAAAAAACTGTAAAGATGCAAAAACGTAATATCCATGAAGATCCTATTACCTAGGAAGATTTTGATGTTTTGCTGCGAATGCGGTGTTGGGATTTATTTGTTCTTGGAGTGTTCTGCGTGGCTGGCAAAGAATTATGTTCCAAAATCGGTCCATCTCCCAAGGGGTCCAATTTTTCTTCCTGGGTGTCAGCGAGCCCTGACTCACTACAGTGCAGCTGACAGGGGCTGTCATGCAAGTGGCCCCCTAAGCCAAAGCAAAGGACCTAAGGACGACCTTTGAACAATACAAAGGATGGGTATGTTTTGACATTTTTCTTCTTTCCTTCTTTTAAAAAAAGTCCTCTAGTATATGTAATAATTCTGTCTTAATTATGTTAGAGATTACCTTGTTCTGCTCTAAGACTAAAGATTCAATTGCTTAGTGGACACATTTCTTGCTTAACTATTTAAAACAAAAAACACAATCTCTTTCAATTGCAAAGAGATGATATTTAATGTTAAATGTTGTTATCTAGATTTGAATTTCTGAAAATGAAAATAGATGCCTATTTTTGCTTGATTAAAAAAATGAATTCTTTTTTGGGGGGATAACTTTTCTAAGTTGTTTTTATTTCCAGGTTTCAATGTAATTAGGCTACTGAGCGGATCAGCTGTAGCACTGGTTATAGCCCCCACTGTCTTACTGACAATGCTTTCTTCTGCTGAACGAGGATGCCCTAAGGGCTGTAGGTGTGAAGGCAAAATGGTATATTGTGAATCTCAGAAATTACAGGAGATACCCTCAAGTATATCTGCTGGTTGCTTAGGTTTGTCCCTTCGATATAACAGCCTTCAAAAACTTAAGTATAATCAATTTAAAGGGCTTAACCAGCTCACCTGGCTATACCTTGACCATAACCATATCAGCAATATTGACGAGAATGCTTTTAATGGAATACGCAGACTCAAAGAGTTGATTCTGAGTTCCAACAGAATCTCCTATTTTCTTAACAATACCTTCAGACCTGTGACCAATTTACGGAACTTGGATCTGTCCTATAATCAGCTGCATTCTCTGGGATCTGAACAGTTTCGAGGCTTGCGGAAGCTGCTCAGTTTACACTTACGGTCTAACTCCCTGAGAACCATTCCTGTGCGAATATTCCAAGACTGCCGCAACCTGGAACTTTTGGACCTGGGATATAACAGGATCCGAAGTTTAGCCAGAAATGTCTTTGCTGGCATGATCAGACTCAAAGAACTTCACCTGGAGCACAATCAATTTTCCAAGCTCAACCTGGCCCTTTTCCCAAGGTTGGTGAGCCTTCAGAACCTTTATTTGCAGTGGAATAAAATCAGTGTCATAGGACAGACCATGTCCTGGACCTGGAGCTCATTACAAAGGCTTGATCTGTCAGGCAATGAGATCGAAGCTTTCAGTGGACCTAGTGTTTTCCAGTGTGTCCCAAATCTGCAGCGCCTCAATCTGGATTCCAACAAGCTCACATTTATTGGTCAAGAGATTTTGGATTCTTGGATATCACTCAATGACATCAGTCTTGCCGGGAATATATGGGAATGCAGCAGAAATATTTGTTCCCTGGTAAATTGGCTGAAAAGTTTTAAAGGTCTGAGGGAGAATACAATAATCTGTGCCAGTCCCAAAGAGCTGCAAGGAGTAAACGTGATCGATGCAGTGAAGAACTACAGCATCTGTGGCAAAAGCACCACGGAGAGGTTTGATCTGGCCAGGGCTCTCCCCAAACCAACGTTTAAGCCCAAGCTCCCCAGACCAAAGCATGAGAGCAAGCCCCCTCTGCCCCCCACGGTGGGAGCGACAGAGCCAGGCCCAGAGACCGATGCTGACACGGAGCACATCTCTTTCCATAAAATCATCGCAGGGAGCGTGGCCCTTTTCCTGTCCGTGCTCGTCATCCTGCTTGTTATCTACGTGTCATGGAAGCGGTACCCTGCAAGCATGAAACAGCTGCAGCAGCGCTCCCTCATGCGAAGGCACAGGAAAAAGAAAAGGCAGTCACTAAAGCAAATGACTCCCAGCACCCAGGAATTTTATGTAGATTATAAACCCACCAACACGGAAACCAGCGAGATGCTGCTGAACGGGACAGGACCCTGCACCTATAACAAATCAGGCTCCAGGGAGTGTGAGGTATGAACCATTGTGATAAAAAAAACGCTCTTAAAAGCTGGGAAATAAGTGGTGCTTTATTGAACTCCGGTGACTATAAAGGCAACACGGTACCCCCCCTCCCCTCCCTTCCCCTCTCCCTCTCACTGTGCTGGCAAGGTCCTTCCCTGTCCTGAGTGCATTCATAATACTGGTCATTTTCCTCTCATACATAATCAACCCATTGAAATTTAAATACCACAATCAATGTGAAGCTTGAGCTCTGGTTTAATATAATGCCTATTGTATAAGACCCTTTATTGATTCCATTAACGTTGCACTTGTTTTCAGGAAAAAAAAAGAAAACTTCTTTCATAAGTAATCTCCCACATCTGATGTATTCTCCTTCTGGGAGGATCAAATCTGTAGCTCTAGAAGGTTTGCAGTTTGTTGGCAAATCAAAGAAAAAGATGAATAATCTCAGGCACTCAGAGCCTGAACCGATTCTAGGAGATGACTTGATTATAGAAACATTTTAGAGACAGAGCCATTAAAATAATTCCTGCCTTAAAAAGAAAATTGCAGGAAACTATCAAAAGATGGTGCTGGGTTAAAGCAGCACCATGAACAGTTTCCAGAGATATCTAAGTTACAATAAGGCAAGCACAAGGGAGAAGTGTTGAAGGGTTAAAATACTGTAAGTAGTCACTGCAAAATGTGAGAAGATGATTAAAACACAAAGTTATAGACTTTAGGGCTTATCTCTGAAACCCATCCCTGTAAAAGCAGACAAGAGGTTTCACTGTAAGTTTCTTCTACAGACATGTGTATTTCCTAAATAAGTTGATTAAATAGCCAAAAAATTAAATAGGCATATTTGAGGATATAGATTTCTTTGTGGCTTCTCACATGAGGGAGTTTTCAGAGATAAGATTTGCAAATGGGAAGCAGTCTTGCTATGTGCTTGTGGCTGGGACCTCACCAGAATTTCTCTCCAGCTTTTTCAAAGACCCCAATGTAATTAATGGAATCATTAGCTCCTTGCTGTTCTTCTGTTCAGGATTTGTCAGAGTGTCCTGTATTGTTTCAAGATGTGTCCTGCACACACCAGTTCTCCCTAATGACTGACACTTCATTCAGATGTGTAAAAGAGAACATATTCCAAAAGACATGCTTTCTACCAACAGCCTCATTAAAAATGAGGACTATGATAACACCTTAATAAATGTATAAAATAAATTTTCAGGGGGAAAAGACCAACACTATGATATTTCTCTTTTGCTTTGCTGTTGTTGACATTATTGTGTCCCTGTGTTCATCTGTATTGTAAACTCATCCATCAGTACAATTCTGTATAGACCCTGTTGGCAATCTGCAAGCTACATGCATGTTTTTATGTCGTTGGTGAAAGTTTATTGACTGCAGCACAAATATCATAGCCTCTGTATTTAAGTAACATGAACTACAGTCCATTGAGATTTTAGAAAAAAAATATCTTTAGCCTATATTCTCTTTTGTCTTCCAAAATGAACAGTTTTATTATAGGAGCAAAAATTAGGAATTACTACATTGAGGCTGTTTCATTTAATTTGACTCACCAAGCCTTACATATTTAACCATGTCCCTGTTCTTTCAAAACAGAATTGCTGCATCAAAAAAGAAAAAAGTGAATGGCTATTTTTACCAACATTTTTATATAGTTTGGTGGTTTTTTCATAGGATGAGAGGAAAGATCTGGGCAAGTCACCATGAAATATACTTGCAAGGAAGAAAAATTATTAAAATCATGCTTTTATAAGCAATAAAGAAAAAAATGCCAAAATAGATTTCTCTAGGTTCTTTGAGTTTGGCTAAACCTTAAAATAAATACCAGTTCAGAAAAGCATCTTAGTCACAATGTTTACCCATAAATAATTGTTGAGTATATAATAATGACAAATAGTCATATATTCCCAATTGATTAATAATGCAGATACTTCCTTACAGTAATATGAACTGGATGACTGATCTTACTGTGATGTTTTTCACTAAAGTTGTAATTTTACATTTTTTATGAAGTGTCAGTAAATACATATTCCATCTGAAAAAGAAATTTTCTTTGGTCAGCCTCATTTTTATCTGTACTAAAGTTGATTGTATTAATTAAATGCAGTGTTAAAGTGGAAAAAAACCCATTTTTATTCTTTGACTTGAACTTTCCCTCATTTGTGATGGATACCAAATATATTTAGGCAAGGTATAGTTATATTTTTTTAATTCTTTCAAATTATTGATTCTGTGGTGCTACTAGTATATACAAAATGTTTGCTGTATTGAAAAGTATTTCTAAATCTTAAAGCCACTTGGTATGTAAATTGTGATTTAACATTAAATGAATGACCAACATTTTGAAGGCTGGTCATTTTTTAATGCCTAACTTTACTTATAAATATACTAGATAAGAAAACAGAATTTCTTTGAAGGTAAAACATGGTTTTATTTGGAACATGAAATTACAAGAAAAAGTTCTTTCTCACTCCCTTCCCCAACTCAGAAATGAAGCTTCTCTAATTCTCAGTATCTGCCAAGAACAAATATAAAAATCTAGTAGGCTAGACAATTATTACTTCACTATTGTTAAATTTAACAAAACTGGATGGCAAATATTATCCTGATTAGAAGTTGTTGCCCTCACCTGTACTCCATGGCACTTTCTGTACTACATGGCATAAATCTATTTTCATAAGTATTTGAAACTCACTGCCTGTTAGAGAAATATAATTGGTATTCATTTTTTCTAGTGCAAATTTACATGAAATATCTGATCTCAGTCAGGTGACAACAGTGAAACAACCTAACCTGTTGAACTCTGTAACAGAGATGGATCAATGCAGAGTAGATTCAAAACAGAAAGAAAATGGAGTTTAGTGTCTTTGAACAGCATGTGGGTTTTTTCCATTTTTATTAGCCTCAGTATGCACAGTGGTACTGCAGCGTGGAGGAAATAGTCCCAGTGCTGCAGTATTCTAAGCAATACCAATGCAAGATATATTCATTTTCAATGAGTTTGTATTTTCCAAGGATGTTAATATTACATCTTTTCAAAGAATTTAAACTATCTTTTACTTGATTTGGTGAGTCAACTACCTAAATAGACACAGGCAATAAACTGTATTTCTGTGGAGTAGCAATGACCTCTAGTGGCTGATTAGAATAACCACAGCCATTCAAACACATTTTAGCTTTTAATTCTGAATCTCTTTGTAAACGTTGTTTACAACGTGTACTTTTGATCTGTTCATCAGATTTGAATTTCACTTAGTTCATTCTCCTGGGAAATACAGCTATTGTGTAATTTTTTATATATTACTTAGTGACATTTTTAGTAATGCTAGGAAGTAGGCCATAAAACAGGTTCTGAGGGACTAGAAGTAGGTGCCAAAGATGTAAAGCAAATAGTAATACAATAAAAATCGATAAGAAATATTTTTAAGTGTTTATATGCATCAAAATTGGTCAAATAGTCTGATATTTTAATTAAGTGTGTTAATCCATTGGCAGGACATTGAAACACATATTGTAATTAAGGTTGGGGAAAATAAATTTCAGTATTTAATATTAAAAGAATCAGCATCAATTACTTACTGGTCAGAAGATATAAGAGCTATCAAGGGAGAGGGGCCTCCCCTTTTTTTTGCTTTAGAACTCTCCAATTTGCTGACCCGTGCCAGTGACCCGTGCTTTGCCCCGTGCTTTCTTCCTCCCTCCCCCTTTGCAGCCAGCTGAACACTGGTTCTATTAGGCTCTTTGACAATGATGTTACAGTCTAAGAGGTGATGATTCATGGATAATGAAATTATGCTCTCCTTCTGGGGAAGGATAATGCAGAGTCAGATTCATGAATTTGGCAAGGGTTTTTAGGATGCTGTAGGTGCACGGAATATCTTCCCTTCCTTTGACATTTACCAAGATGAGAACTCAAATAGTTTATTCAAAGTGAGGATTAGACTAGCATCAGAAACAAGCATTAGGCTTAAGACAAAATAAGTTCCAGATGTGACAAGTGAAAATTGAGCCATGAGAAATAAAAAATTCAGAAACTGTGTGGGTTCTTTTATCCCCTTTCTCCCAGGGTTCTCATTAGAAACTAGATCTGAAGCAAAACCATGGAGCTTCCTATTCTTGTGATCTCTTTGCTACCTACATTAAAAATCAGAGACAGATGGGACAGACTATGAGAATGAAAAATAATATCAGTAAATGCGAATGACAAATGTTACAAGAGCAATGGAATGCATGGACCTTAAATAGTGTTTATTAAATAACTGTTGAAAATTAACTCTAAAAATACACAGGTGAAAGTGTTTTCCCAATCATAAGAGTCTATGTAATTTTTCCAGCTGCCAAAACCATTGGTAATTTTGGATAGTTGCAGAAAAAATATAAATAAAAAGTAATTCTATTTCATTGAGGAAGATAATCATGGTCATGTCTTGTAGAAGAATATGGACCTCAGAAATTAAGAGCTAAATTCAAACTTCTCAGACACTTGTTAAATATCTTTTTGACAATGAGTCAAAAAGAAATCAATAACTCTATGTTACAGAAGCCCATATCTATGAATCTAGAACTTATCTTTCATCTTTGGTTTCCATATGGACACAGATTCTTCCATCTTATATTATCTGAGTGTTACATTTTATCAATAGTGATCCCAGTGAATGGTAGATATAAGGACATAAACCAGAGAACAAAGAAAAAAACTTCTCAAACTAAACCCATATACCAGTGGTGTCCCCAAATCTCGTCAATATAGCCAGGGCTTTCCATCGAGCAGAAGTTTGTCTGTCCCCTCTCTAGTATCACTATTTTCAGTTCTTGTTGACATTTACTATATAATTGTTTACATGACAATATGACATCATTATTGAACAGAAAGGTAATTGCTCCCATACATGTTGTATGGGATTAGCACACATTTCAGATATCAATCACATGATGTTACCTCTCTGTTGTTTTTCTCCCACACCTACCTCCCAAGACCTCCTAGTATAGAAACTACT